TCATTCCTACTTGTGTTGATAGAAGGTTCAGCTCTTGCACTGTGGGTCACTAGGTCATAAGCCTCATTGCTGCTTGTGGTGATAACATCAGGTTTAGCTCTTCCAGTGTGACTCAACAGGTTGCAGTCCTCATTACCTACAGCATCAGATTTCTTTATGTCTCTGTAGCAAGTGTGGTGAATGGACATTTTTTATACACTGACTTTTGTACAAGTTTTTTTCTGTATCTGCCTTTGCAATAAAGTTAAACGAGTCTGTTTTGTGCTTTCAGAGAGTGCAGGCAAATTATGATTTGGCTTACCGAAGGCAACATTGATAGATAGAGGAACCTTCATAGACTTTGAGTGTTTTCTAATTTTAAGAGCACAGAGGAATCCAATTATCAGTAGAGTAGCAACAACCAGGAACCCTGCCACTGTCACTCCTGATATGAGTCCCAAGTTAGAGCCATTTTCACCAGTCTTCTGTTCCTCTGGCCCCCTAACATCAGGCAGGGCTGTAGGAGGATAGCATGAATCTACTTGCACCTGTACGTTTTAGTGATAAACACAGGGTGTGGATGATGAATACCTTCACAGACTTTGCCATTGCCTGTGTACCCAGTTGAGCACTGGCAGTTGTAGCCTCCCTCAATGTTGAGACACTCGGCATTCTTGCTACAGTCATGGGATCTCCCACTGCATTCATCAACATCTGCAAAAGGTTTTACATGTTAATCAGTATTTGGTGTATGAAGTGTTTGTTCAGCATGCTACATATTCAGAGACTGTGATGTAATCTTATGTCAACATCTGAGCAATTGGTGCCATATCCTGGCTTGCAGTGACAACTGTAGCTCCCAGCAGTGTTTAAACAGTCTGCAGCTGCACTGCAGTCATTTGATACCTCTCCCAGGCACTCATCCATATCTGACATGTCCCCAACAACCATAGTATGAGAGTAGGAAGGTCATGATTAATTTAACCCCATAGCGATACATGTAGTTGACTTGTGTTGATGTGTGTGCATGTGACTCATGAATTTGTGTGTCAGTATCGTTTATGGTACTACAGTTTACCATTGCACACTGTTTCATTCCACATGTAGCCAGTGGGACATGTACACTCATAACTCCCCTCAGTGTTGACACACAGTCGAGGCTCACAGACACTGGGGTCCAACTCACACTCATTAACATCTGCAGGGAAATTCAAAAATTAATGCTCTGACTTCTTTGGTAACCAGCGTTTCACCTGAGCAGTTGGATCCATTTCCAGTGAATCCATCACTACAAGTACACATGTAGCTCCCCTCAGTATTGGTACATTGGGAATTCATACCACACATACTCTCAGTCTCCAGACACTCATCTACATCTGTGGTGTAGCTACCACTACTGACAAATTACTAACAAACTAGCAAAATTCTTACCAGTGCAGGTCGCTCCATTTCCAGAGTAGCCACGTTTACATGAGCAGGAAAAACTACCATTGGTATTGTTACAGTCTGCATTTACATCACAACTGTCACTGTTATTTTCACACTCATCTATGTCTGTGTGTAATAAACTATTAGGTTACTGAACCTTGCACCAACTCAACTGACCATAACAAACCACTCCATAACCAGTGTAGCCATCACTGCACATGCAGGAGAAACTACCATCTGTATTGGTACACGTTGCCTTCTGTGCACAGTTGTCCATATCTGTAGTGCACTCATCGATGTCTAAATCAGAGCGCAAAGTAATCACATACTTCTCCTTTTGCTATAATTATAATTTTATTACCATAACAATATGTTCCATTTCCTGAGTATCCAGGTAAACAGGAACAGTTGTGTCCACCATCAATGTTAGTACAGTTTGCATTTTCATCGCAGCTATCGACTTGTAATTCACACTCGTTCACATCTGTGAATGTTCCCCTGTACGTTAAAAGGCTTGGTGTGTTACTTTTCTAACCGATGCATTCTGTGCCATCTCCAGTATACCCAATATCACAGTTACAGCTGTAACTCCCCTCAATATCAGTACATGTGGCATGTTCTGCACAGTTGTCCATGTCAGTAGCACATTCATCAATATCTGCTTGCAGAAGTTTATGATTTTAGCTAATCTCGATAATCGTGTCCTCACCATCACATCTGATGCCATTTCCAGTGTAGCCATTATTGCATGTACAGGTAAAGCTGCCTTCATTGTCATTGCATGTAGCCTGCTCTGCACAATTGTCCATGTCAGTTGCACACTCATCAATATCTGCAAAGATTACTGAGGCTCTGATTATAATACATGTTAAAGTAACTCACTGATGCAGTTCACACCATCTCCAGAGTATCCAGTGTTACAAGAACACTGAAAGCTTCCATCAGCTCCCACAATATCTGAACAAGTAGCATCTGTATGGCAGTTGTGCTCCCCCACAGCACATTCATCAATGTCTGCATCAAACAATTATTACCCCGAGCCATGCTAGTGTGTTATGATGGCAGGAAACTTACTGATATCCACGTAAAGATGGAGCTGTGCTCTTTGTCTGTTGGAATTACTATAGTAGGAGATATTTCCATATCTGCTTCTGTGCAGCTGCCGCCACCTGTCCATGAATCGAACTCTTCTTATTGTATGATCTCTGAGAATGTCAAGGTAGTCTGTGTCTCCATCAGGTCTGAGACAAGCTCCCACTCTGTCTCCTTCCTGTATCTGGAAGTACTCCGAGGGATCCAGTGTCAGAGTGTCACAGTGAAGGTATCTTCTCGCATATCCATGTGGAGAAGATGGTAGCTACCGTCGCGAAGAGTGTATATGTTGCTGGTGAATGAGAATACCCCAAATGCCACTTGAAGATCAGTTTCACTGTTGTCAGGGTAGTAGCAGTAGTGCCATGCATACACTGTTCCACTACACTGAGCTCTGTCTGCTCCTCTTCTGTTGACATATATGGCCGCATTAGTGTTTGTGTTGTCCTCACTAGTGTCGGTGCTGCCAGCAGTGTATACCGAACACGACTGTGCATCTAATATGCCTGTTGGGGACATAGCAGTGATTATTAGTGACTGACTATGCGACATTCTAACGACAGTGCTAGCTAGTAACTCACGTATCAAAGTAGCCAAGATTACGTGCGAGAGCAGGATAGTCACATCCATCATGCTGCTTTATTGTGATTGAACGAGCCACCCTTAGGCTAGTCCCGTGCGCCGTATTGCCAAACGGCTAGCTTATAAACGCGAACGCCCCCCCCGCCCCCCGGCCCCGCGTGCCCACAAACCCTGTTGGGTTTTTGCGCATGCGTCGTTCGCACCGCTTATTCAGCAAATTGCGTGGCGTCGATATTCTGGGACCCAGACAGTCTGGTTTGCCATCCTCCTCTAATTTATACCAACAACACTGTCCTCTCATTCTCCATCCCAGCTAGGGCAGGAGTATAGTTCAGTTGCCTACCAAGCATGGCTAGGGCTCACACAGTGAGCGTGACGATTTTTAGTATTCTTCAATTTAACTTGCCGAGCAGTAGGAGTACTGGGGATATAGGATTTCAGTATCTTTCTACATTATCATCGAGTCAGTCGCAATCCTCTCCAAATCCAGCTTGGTTTTGCTACAGCACATTCTGTGTCAGCATAAATTTCATTTACAATGACGCAATCCCTGCGCATGTCCGACCTCCTCTGAGGGGTATGCATGTGAATGACAGATTTATGCTTGCTCTAGCTCCAGCTGGCATTTGTATGCTTGACTATATATACAACACGTTTCACTTTAGTCACATTTATCCTGAAGCACCAAATTAGCTAAACAGATCCTATGCTTAGGAATGTTAAAAACACTAATAGAGATGGCTGGTCGTATTGATCAAAAAGAGATGTGGTCATGGATCTTTCGGATTATAACAGCCACTCCTCATTTTTTCCCCCCAAGAACACAGCAGTAGAGTTTTAGCCTAATTTTTAACTGTAGAAGAGGACATTGTGACATGCTATTTTCTATAGTATGCGCAAAATAGACTGCGTGATCCACCTGCGCCATGGTTCAGAAAGGAATGTGACTGAGCGCTTACATACACCAGGCAGAGCATAAAACATCAAATACCGCTGTAGGTTGAGGTTTGTACTTAACCTCACCGCAGAAATAGTCATATGCTAGCTGCAAGCCTGTGTGACTAGCTGGCTGTTCAATCCTGTGATGTTGGCCACCTAATATAGTAGTGTCCAGTACACAACTATAAATCTCCTTATCAGTTGGTTGTTGGGGACTTGTCAGATGTGGATGAGTGCCTGGGAGGAGTAGGTATCAAATGATTGCATTTGATTCTGCCAGTGATGTTGTATGTCTCATTGCTGCTTGTATGATGGTTGTTCGTAGTTGGATGAGCATTGCTGGCCTCATTCTAACAGGATCAGAATCTCTCCCTCCTAACACTTCATTGGTTGCAGATATTGAGAGGGCCTCTGTTACCTTGTGATGGTGCCGCTGCGCAGTCTAGTAAAATATTATATTGAGTGAGGATACAGGCACCTGTGACACACACGAGACTCACCAGCGATCAGCGACAAGGACTACGCTGACACACGATACGCAACATCTCGTGACTGACGACCACGTCTACACGTGCTCCTGACTATCCCAGTACAGAGATGCATGACTGACAGAAAGCTCTAGAATAATGACGTAATACAGGTAACAACATAATATGCCTGCGTGATAAGTCTACTCTCCCTCTCATACCTACTGTTGTGTATTCACCATTATTCTCAGTAGAAAACGGTGTGGTTGTGAAGCATTTGTTAGTGGCGACATAGTCATCTTCAGCTCTGGAAGCATGAGTCACACTCTGGGATAAGCCTCGTGCTGTTCGTCAGTGATGGATATCAGATTCAGCCGTTGTATTGGGAGTCACTAGGTATAAGCCTCATGCTGTTTGTGTGATACATGTAGACAGTAGGTCTGTGGTCAGTGTGTTGTTGTGATGGCCTCATTACGCTTGTGGTGACCCGAAGATTCAGCTCTTGCACTGGGAGTCGATAAGTCTAAGCCTCGTTGCTGATGTTGGTGATTACCTTAGATTACAGTTCGAGTAGTCAGGTTCTATATGTGTAGGTCCGCCTCACTCATTGCCAGCAGTGTAGTCGAAACAAGACTGTGCAATCTAATATTGCTTGTTGGGGACCTTATAAATCGGTGCTTTTATGCTGATATGTGACTGTTACTATGCGACAGCGTTCTGTAAGTAACTCACGTATCAGGTAGCCAGTTGTGTATGTTCTGTGTCTGAGAGCAGGGATAGTCACATCATCATGCTGCTTTTGTGTGAGTGAACGAGCCACCATTAGGTGTCCGTGCGCTGGTATTGATATGCCGCCAATTTACGGTAGCTTTGACTTTTCAGTCACAAGATTCGGCGATCGGAGCACAACTCTCTTGGAAGCAGGCGTTATTTCTGCCCAAATCGGCACAACCCTTTCATCCTGTGCGATCTGTGTCTGTGCTGCCCCCCCTGCACCCTCTCGTGTTGCTTGTTCTCTGTTTTCCTTCCCACCCTCCCCCCCCCACCCCAGGCGATCTTTCTGGAGACCTCTCTCTCTGTGGTTGTGTGTGGGTTTGTCTAGCCTGCTGAGCCGTATGACTGCTCACTCTAATTGTCGGGTGTGCGTTTTTGCTGTTGGTGTTCTGAGTAAGGGTAGATGTAACTGCGTAACATAAAGTCCGACCGCCATATCTTCACGGTGCGACTGAGACTCACTTCTGAGGTGGGATCAAACAAAATTGCGCCGACGCCTACGGGTCAAAGTTCAAATTTGTGCGACGTTACAACAGCGTTTTTGTGACCGAAAGCGGAACGCTTAAACAGTGGTACGCAACGGCGGTCGATGAGGAGGTCGTCGCCCGCTTTACTAATTAGAAGTCGGTGTAGTCTGTGGTTAGTATTAGCAGGATACGCATCACTACTTTACTAGAGGTCGGTCTCGCGTTTACTAGGAGTCGGTCGCTGCTGTCTAATGAGTCGGTCTGCTTTACTAAGACTAAGAGGTCGGTCCATGTTCTAAGAAGTCTCGGCTCCATTTTTACTAACATGGTCGATCTCACTTGTTACTAGTAGCGTCGCTCACTTCACGAAGCGTCTGATCTATTGTCACTGTGTATAGTCGTATCCGCTTTAGTAGGAGGTCGGGCCGACCAATACGAGTAAGACACGGGGAGCAGCGTGGTGGTTGCCTGCGGGGCGCTACACTGCCAGTCAGTTCCTCGACCTCTACGCTCCTCATGCCCGCTGCATGTTTTTCTGCGCTCGGGAGGGGCACGCGCCGTCACTCTATGTAAGCGCGATTTTCTTGCGGCAGTAGACGCGGGTAGACCAGAACCTCACTAGTTAGTAAAGTAGACGACCTCTAGTAAAGAAGACCGACTCTAATAGTAATAGCGAACCGACCCTCCTAGTGAATAGACCGACCTCTCTCAGTAAAGTAGACCGACCTCATCGACCGACAGCGTGTCTCGCAACAGTTCTTGACAATCCTGATACTAAATACAGCGCCACATAGTGAACGCGCCATTATCAGAGTAGACGCTCTACTGATCGAGTCGACGGCATGGGTGGCTGGCCTTTCATCACGGTGTGAAACTCTCATACGTGATCCGCGGGAGCATCTAACGACCTCCAAACTAAGCGAGACGACGCCTCTGTATGGCGTTCTAAATACACACACAGCAAACCTCTCGGGCGCCATCTCTAGCTATACATAAAGCATACAGACTGCATACTAGCCATAAAAGATGACTGCAACACAGTGGAAAAATCATTTCTGATCTGTGCAATGAAAGAGGATGTGTGGATGTCACACGCTCATGGAAAAAGAAGGAAACAGGAAGATGCCTACACCCTGCAGAGAAATCATTCATAACCCCATCCTACAGAGATCTGTGTATGTTCGCAATCTTTTGTTCTCGTCATGAATGCATGTGTCATATACAAACTATAGAATAGCTGTCTACATAGACTAAAACTGGTTTCTAGTAGTCTCTGAGACAGAGATGTGGGATGGGTTATGAATGACTTTCGGTGTAGCATCTTCTGTGCTTCCCTTACTTTTATCTGATGATGTGTGATATCGTACCCCGCTGTCAATTTCACGATGAAATGATCTTTCCACTTGTTACTATAGTGGTTGGTTTGTGGGCATGTCATGTGTGCGCAGCAGCTATTCAGCAATTGCGTGGCGTCAATGATATCTCTGGACACCACAGAAAGTCTGGTGTGACATCCTCCTCTGATTTATACACCACAACAAACTGTCCATCTACTCATCCTCTCCAGCTAGGGTAGAGTTCAGCAGGGAGTGCCTACCCAAAACTATATTGAGAATAATCGGCTTCGCTCTATAGGGTCTCACACTGTGAGTCGATGCACGGAGTGTTTAGTATCTCACGTATAACTATGCGAGATAGTAGGCATTCCTGGGGATAATATGGGAATTTTCAGACAGTGTCTTTCTTACATATTTCTCATCGAGTGCTA